ATTTAGTTTTTCATTTTGTCCCTGTAGTGTTTTCCTGAATTGTTTTAGGGTTTTGTCTATGTTTTCCTTGATCTCTTTGAGAATCCTAAATATAAGTCTTTTGAATTAATTATCAGGTATTCCTATTACCATTTTTTTCTCAGAAAGTTTTTCTGTCCCTTTATTTTGCTTACTTTTTTGAGCCTTCTTATCCTGTTTCTTCAGATGATTTGTTAATTGTCTGCTGTCTCTGAGGCATTAAGGTATTTATTTATTGATTGATTGATTGATTGTTTGTTTTGTCCTGATTTTTTTTTTTGCTTGGCTGTGTTTACATATTCAGGAGCTTTGTTTTTTCTCTTTCTGGTTAGAATATCTTTCTTCTTTTGTATTATTTTGATTGTTGTTTTGTGATATTGATCTATGTGTGACTTTTGTGGTGTAGGTTGGCTGGGTTTGATTTCCTCTCTAGTGGGTATGGTGGGTCACGCCCATGTGTGAGTCCTCTGTGATTAGACTCATATTTCTTCCCTTACAGGATTGATTGGAGGTGGAAGAGCAAGTTATTTCTCTGATACTGGGTGACAAGTGTTGTGTGGTCAGGGCCCATCCACAGCCCTATCGGGTTGTGGTGTCCTTCCAGGTTGGTGCTTTGAAGTAGTGCTACCTAAATGCACAGGATAGACTCTCTGTGTATGCATGAACTGGTGTCTCAGTAGGTGATGGGGGATCAAGGGGTTTCAGTGCATGTGTAGGTGGCCTGCCAGAACTGTCTGGGTGTAGGATGTGTGATATTGCAGCTGGGTGGATGTTGGATGAGGGCAGTAGGATCTCCTGCTTGTCATTTGGCAGAGGTGCAGATTGTGCCTGTTGGGATGTGATGAGCATTGCTGATGAGGTGATGTGCTCATCCATATGGTCACCAGGCATGGGTGCAGGGAGTGTTCTTGCCAGTTGCTGGGTTATTGGTGCTGTGGGTGTGAGCCGCCAGTTGCCAGGTATTCAGGCAGGAATGCACGGGTCCCTGGTCATTGGACAGTCAGCACTGGAGCTTGCACTGCTGGTTGCTGAGTGAGGGGGCCTCATGCTGAAAGTCTCTGGGTGGGTGATATGGGAGTGTGTGCCACTGGTCACCAGTCCAGCAACACAGGAGTGTGCACCACCGATCACTGGATGAGCAGGGTGGCAAAGGAAGGTGGGCGTGGTGGGCACATGCCACCAGTTGCTGGCCCAGCAGCACAGGAGCACACGATGCAGATTGCTGGGTGGGCGGGACAACATGGTAAGGGGTGGGCATGCACCACTGGTCACTGGGGGAGCGGGGCAGTGAGGGAGTGTGAGTGGGGTGGGTGCGTGCTGCCAGTTGCCAGTCCAGTGGCACAGGAGTGCTCGCTGCTGATTACCAGGCAAGTGCACGCTGCTGGTCTCTGATCTAGCAGCACAACAGCACGCACTGCAGATGGCTGAGCAAGGGCACTGGTGGGGTATGGGTTGCACCACTGGTCATCTGGTGGGCAGGGCAGTTGTGTATTACCAACTGCAGGTACAGTAGGGGGAGGAGGGCTTGTGCTGCCATTTGCCAGACAGGTGAGGTGGGAGGAGGCACACCACTGGTTACTGGGAGGGTCGGGGGGAGGAAGAGGGGAGGGTGCTCCTCTGGTCACTGGCATCGGTGCTGGACACTCCCTGCAGAGTGCAACTGGTGATCAGGATCTAGCCCTTACCAGTGCGAGGGGCGGGGGCTGTCTAGAGTCCAGTCGGGTGGGGGATTTCCAGCCACCACTCCATGAATCATCCCCTCCAAGGACACTACCCTCCTAAACGGCCAGGGACAGCTGCTAGTGAGTGGTTCTGTCCCTATTTTCTGGCTGCCTACCTGCTCTGTGGTTGCCTGGACCCCGGCACTCTCTCCTGCCTTCCTGCACTTTCCTTCCTTATATCTGGTTCATGTTCTGCTCACCTTGCTTCACTCTGGGTTTGTCTACACAATATCTCTGTCTCCTATTGGGAATTCTGTAAATTTGCCTTCCTGTGCTCCTCACCCAGGAACGCAGCTTACTTTGTCTCAAGATGGCCATACTGCATTGGGCCAGCTGGCAGGGTGCCTATGATCTATGAATCTCCTTGTTCACTGTTTTCATTCAGTTTCTCCTTTCATTCGGTATTTAGTATAATTCTTCATCCTTGTGTTTGCTGTTCAGGGTTCCAAGATTGTCAGCTGTATTTGTTTCAGTTGGTTTCTTGGGTCGTTGCTGTAGGTGGATGGCATGGTGTGTTTGACTAAGCTGCCATCTTGGGGCATCTCTGGTCCTTGTCTGTTTTGAGCTTCTGCTCCTGGGAGATCTTCACGTGGCTTGACATCTCTCTTCCTCCATCTCTGCCTGCTTTCTTGCTTGTTTAATCTCTTTTATACCTCTAAAGAGATAGAATTAAGACATACCCTCTACTAACTCTGCCTCATTAACATAAAAAAGAAAACCCATTCCCAAATGGGATTTTAACTGCAGGGTTAGGGGTTAGGATTCACAACACTCATTTTTTGGGACACAATTCAAACCATAACATTCCACCCTTTGGCCCACCAAAGTTAATGTCTTTCCCACATGCAAAACACATTCATCCCATCACATCATCCCAAAAGTCTTAAGTCAATTTCATGTCCAAAATCCCATCTTCTGAATCATCTAAATCAAATATAGGTGAGACATTAGGTGTATTCCATCCTGGGGCTAAATTCCTCTTAATCTGTAAACCTGTGAAATCTAGAATATAAGTTATCTGTTTCCAAAGTACAATGGTGAAACAGGCACAAGGTAGATATTTCCATTACAAATGGGAGAAATTGGAGGGAAAGAAGGGATAACAAGCACCAACCAAGTCCAAAACCCAGCAGAAAAAAATACATTAGCTCTTAAGGTTGGAAAATAATCCTCTTTCTATGGTACCATTTGGGCAATGGCCTCGCCCTCCAGATTCCGGGTGTTGGCCACACTCTGTGGATTCTGGGTGGAGGACCCTCAGCCACGGGCTTCATCCCTGCCTCCCAGGCCCACTGGGATGGGAACTCTGCTCCCTCAGCTTTGGGTGGCCCCATTCTCCTAGTCCATCTGATTGGCGACCCCACCCCCTCAGCTCCGGCAGGCCGCATTCGTTCTTCTGCTCACTGGTACCTTTAGATACCGTGAGTTGATTACTAAAAAATTGGGCTCGATAAAGAGTATTACTTTCAGCAGAAATCATTTGACTACTCTGCGACTCAGCATATTTTTCTACATTATATCTCCACACTGAACCAAATTATCCAGTTTCTGATTTTCCCTGGATAATCTATTGGTGTTTAACAAGCTCTGCACTGGCATTCCTTATATGGTATCTCAGATTCACAATTGAGCTGGTTGAACATTGTGAGCACCGACAACTAACATTGCCTGTCTTCATGGTATCTATATTAGCTCCTTTGCTGAACCAATGTCTAGAAATGGTGGAAAGAGATAGAATAAAGGGAAGGTGAAGAATTAAAAAGAATCATGGAAAGAAAAACATGTAAGGCATGGAACCTGTTGCTTTTGAGTCAATTCTAACTCTTAGCGACCCTATAGGACAGAGGAGAACTGCCCCACAGGGATTCCAAGGCTGTAACCTTTACTAGAGAAGCAGACTGCCGCATCTTTCTCCCACAGAGCAGCTGGTGGCTTCAAATCCCCAAAGTTTTGATTAGCAGCTGAGTGCTTTAACCACTGTACACCAGGGCTCCTTTAAGTCATGGAAGGGAAAGGTAAATAGGAGGACCCCTCTTGACCTTAAAACGGAGATGGATTAAATGGGAATTAACAGGAGTAAATAAACATGATCATAATTACTTCTCATAACAATCCAGTGAGGTAGACATTATTATCTACTTTTGTACATGAGGCAGTTAGGCTTAGAGAGATTCATTTTTGAGATGGCAATTGTGCTAGGCAGAATTCTCAGATAACCTCCAAGATTGCCCTGGTGCACACGCCCTGAATAACCCCCCTCTCCTTGAGCTGGGGAAGAACTGGTGACTATGATGGAATATCACAGCTGTGATTTGATTACTAGTAAAGGTGAAGGAATTTTGAAGATGTAATTAAGGTGCATAATCAGTTGGTTTTGAGGTATTCGAAAGGGAGATCATACCGGGTGGGTCTGACCTAATCATGTGAGCCCTTAAAAGATGGGCGATGTCAGAGAGATTCTCTTGCTGACTTTGAAGACGTAAGCTGCCATGTTGTGAGAGGGCCACATGGTTAGGATCTGAGGGCAGTCACTAGTTGCTGAGAGCAACTCCTGCTGGATAGCTATCAGTAAAATGGAGATCTTAGACCTACAACTAAAGAAGACTGAATACCAACAACAAGTGAACCCAGAAGAGGACTGCAGCATCAGAAAACACTGCAGCCCCAGCCAACATCTTGATTTTAGCCTATGAAACACCCAGCAGAGCATCCACCTATGCCTGGCTGGACTTGTGAGCTACAGAAACTGTTACATTATAAATGGATGTTGTTTTAAGCCATCAAGTGTGTGGTAATTTTTTACACAGTAATAAACTATTACAGTAATGAAGGAGATAGATCGGTAAATATATGGGCAGATAATTTTTGTCCCTTCAATTTAAATTTCCTGAGGATACAATGAAGTTTCTTCAGTAAAGTATTACAGACTTGGCTTTGTATAAGTTCCTACTGAGAATCTAGGTGAACAAGTATAGTTTTCTTGTATTACCACTCTATTGCCTTCTTTTACAGCGCCTTCTCATGATTTATACTTCTGTAACTCTCCTCCCCATGTTATCTTTTTTGATGGAAACAGTTGAAAATGAAAAAAAGGGGAAGAAAAAGGAGGAACATCCTTTCTTTTGTTTTAATAACCTCACTGGGAAAACTTTTGAATTAGATAATGATAAAGAAGAAGGCAAACAAAGCATGTAATATGTGAAGAAATGGAGGTAGATAAAAAAAGAGTGTTTCATCCAGATATATTTCTAACTTTGACAGGTTCAAAAAATGCACCATTTCCCTGCTATGAAGAAATCCAACCTCAAATTGACAGGTTTGGGAACTGTGGTTTTCAGGAAAATAGATATACATATTGCTCATGGAGGTATGTTATACAAATATCAAAGATACTTTACTTCTATAGATTCTGAGTTTTTTTTCTTCTCTCTCTCTGTAGTGTATGTCATTCATTCCAGTGGTTTCAGGTATCACATGTATATGGGAAAGAATCTCAAATAAAAATCTCCATCTCTGACATCTTCCTTGTGCTACAGGCTAAAATTTCTATCTTCTTTTCAAACATTTCTGTATGTGTGATAATTAGGCATCTAAATCCTGTCCCAAATTGAACTCAAAAAAATCCACTGCACTTTTCTTCTCCAAACCTGCTGATTTTTCTTTATAAAGATAGTTATCACCATCCACTTGGTTGCTTGCCCAAGCTGAAGACTGCCCTGTGCCTATACAATGAAGTTCAGTTTCCCTTGAATCTGAAGAGGCAACTATTTGATATTTTGGTAATTGGTTTATTTTAAATGTTTATTAAGAACCTACTATGTGCCAGACACTGGACTAGATACTAGTTAGCAAAACATACATAGCCCTTGCACTCATGGAATTTGCAGACTGGTGAACATACTGTGTAGTTTTGTGCTTAGTTGATTTTGCTTATGATGGTTCTTTTGTTTAGAAACAGCTTACCACGACTGTTGAAACTCTGTTAATATGTAGGCTTTGATTCAGGTGGCATCTTCTCTATGAAGTTTTCCCTAACTGCTAAGTTAGAATGTGTCCTCATCTTAAATCTCCACAGGGATTTGTTTACTTCATTTGTAGCATTTTTAATGAGATTTGTATCAAATTTAACATTAGACTGTAAGATCCTTGAGGGTTGTTGTTAGTTGCCACCGAGTCAGTTCCAACTCATAGATACCCTACAGGACGGAGTAGAACTGCCCCAAAGGGTTTCCAAGGAGCGGCTGGTGGATTTGAACTGCTGACCTTTTGGTTTGCAGCTGAGCTCTTAACCACTGCACCACCAGAGCTCCAAACGACCATTAGTACTATTGAAAGATAAGCTCGGAGCAGTGGCTTTATATTTTCTTTTATATTTTCTTTTAAATGTTAGTGTTAAAGCATTCCATTTTCTTTGGGTGCATTACCATAAATGAGGATCATTCTTATTTTGTCAAAGAACTCAAATCTAAAGTATTCCTAATAATGTCTAAGGTATAATAATCAGATTTTTTTTATGCTTGCAGGAATCTTATCTGTGGAAGATTAATTTGTACCTACCCTACTCGAATTCCTTTCCATAAAGAAAATGTTGCTGTGATTTATGCTTTTGTGCGAAACGCTTTATGTGTAACTATAGACTTCAGATTGCATTTATCAGTTCCAGATCCAATGAGGGTGCGAAGTGGCTCTCAGTGTGATACAGGAAGGGTAAATAATTTAAAATAAATTTTAAAAAGCCTAGTTTTATTCATTGGTTTAATAAATATTATCATTTAAGTATCAAAGTTTAATCCATTTCTAGTGCTATGTAACCTTAAATATTTGGAGAAGGAGAAAATGAATAAACTTCAGTTGTTCTCCAGATACTAAGAGGGAAATGAAAATGTTTGATCTCCTTCAGAGTTTCAGTGTTGTAAGAAAGGAAACTCCCAAGTGTTTGGGTGCTGTAGTAGGGAGGGGAGAGATCTTGGGAATACACTGTGGTTGACTACTCCATAGCATGGAAACTCACTTTTGTTCCTGGAGAAGAAAGAAGGAATCCACTTAGTAATATATGTCTCTTGTGATCCAAGAGTACAATTTAGATCAGGCTGTTTAGAATCAAATCTTTACCTTTTATTTTTGACATTTTGCAAGTTACCTAACCAGTCTCAGTTACCTCAACTGTATGTGGTGATAATAACTGTATGTGGGGATAATAATAACATTTACTCCATAGGGTTACTGTGAAGATTAAATGAGACAATATTATATAGTGCTTTGCACAATGCCCGGCACATAGAAAGAGATAAATATAGGTGGGCTTTGTGTTGGAATCAACTTGACGGCAACTGGTTTGGTTATTATTATGAATTATCATTATAATTTCTTATGTCTGAAACTGACCCAAATCTAGAGAAAAACCTAGAGGGAATAAATTTACTTCAAAGTCTCATGTAATTCTTGAACAGATCTCTGCTTGTGAGGAAATACAGTACAGTGTAAAGTGTAGGTTTTAAACACGGATTCACAAAGATTTGAATTCTGACTCTGCCACTTACTTGCTAGATGATCTTGGACAAATTATTTAATATAGTTAAGACTTAGTATGCTTATATGTGAAATGTATATATAAATAGGCACTTCCTGGGTGGTGCAAATGGTTAAGCACTAAACTACTAACCAAAAGGTCAGCAGTTCGAACCCACCCAGAGGTACCTCAGAAGAAAGGCCTGCAATCTGCTTCCAAAAAGTAATAGCCTTGAAAAACCCTAAGGAGCAGTTCTACTCTGCACAGGTAGGGTTGCCATGAGTTGGAATTGACTTGATGGTAACTGGCTTTTTTTTTTTTTTTTTTTTTGGTTTTTAGTGAATTTATAGCTTTAATGAAGTTACTGTAGGTAAAATGTATAGTCTCATTAATAATGGTTTCCTCTTCATGTCTAGGAGTCATAAATGCCTCTTGAAGGAGGTACAGAACAGGGAGCTTAGCAATACATTTAGGCCATAGAGCCGAAGCAAATAAAAAAATTCAACAGCCAGCAGATGGTTTGATACTGCTCAGTTGGTAATTTAGTAAGAGTAAAATCTTTTTTATAACATGGGCATTTCTTCTCAGAGATAATGTGTGAAAATAAATTTTGCCAGGTAGTTTTTAATGATACTATAAATTATATATGATGAAACAGTCTTCAAAATTTTGTTTAAGTTAGTGTACTTATGTAATAGGACTCTTCATCTCCATTTTAGCTGAGGTAGGCAGACTATAGATACTACATTCCAAAAGAAGTTATTGGACGTACCATCATGGCCAGGAAGCCATGAAAAGACTCAACGCATAAAAGGGTTAGACTGTCTGGATTTAAAAAAGGGTTTGTAAGGCCATTTCTTTGGAAAGAGTTGTGCTGTGCTTTATGATCTGAAAAGAAATAATATATACATATATATAATCTCATTTATCCTCACAATAAATTTCAAATGCTTTAGAAAAAGTATTATTATAGTGAGTAAGAAAACTGCAGCTTAGGGAAGTTGAGATTGTATAAATAATGGAGTTGGAAATAATCCTTAGTCCATTTATTACTATACTTTAAACTTAAAAGATTTTATACCTGGATTTTTAGTATATTCTATAATAGAATGATAGCTATCACCAGTATATTTGAATAAAAATTTCTATTACTCTAATAATAGTCCATATTTTATGAAATCTTAATATGTGCTTTAATTATATACAGTTGATTTTCTTTGTTATCCAAAATTTAGATGATGTGTACAGTGAATATAAGGTATTCTTTTAACTGTGCTCTCAGAAATAGTTTTGTTAGGTTTCAGATTATTGTAATAAAAAGTGGCTCTGATTATGATTTTATGATACAATTACTAATTGTAATGTTAAGATGGCTGGACCCTTCTGACTTTGAAACTTTTTTGTATGTGTTTTTCTTTAGGTTTGTGTCGATGGTGAATGTGTAGAATCAAGGATACTCGTGAATGAATCAAACACTTGTTCACAAAAGTGCAATGGAAATGGAGTAAGTAAGCACATGATTTATGTTTCCCCTAATCACATCTATCTTGGACACTTTCTGCACCATTCATTAATTTATTCAACATTTATTGAGTTCTTATTATGTACTAGGCCCTGTTCTATCTAGCTTCGATTTGGAGCTGAACTGGGTTACTAAATTCAGTAGCCATAATTAGTTTTAGAGAATAATATGAGTAAAATTAAATTGCTGATGACCTAAACAAATATATTGTTGCAGGTAGATACTTTTCAGAAGATGTTAGGTATTCCAATAAATACATTAACCTGTTCACAATGGAAAGATAATTATGCCATAATTCTTGTGTCTGTGAACATATGGGGCCATGGAAAACTACTGGCTTTCTTTTTTGCTTTTCATAGCAAATTAAACAATTTCTTTAGGTCTCTGTTGCTATTGCTAGATAGAACTGGGCAGAGATAAATTGAAAATTCATTAAAATGCTTTTGTGAAGACAAAATGAAAATTGGTCTACTAAAACTTCAAAGAATTCTTCAACTTGGCTTTACATGGATTGCCTTTCAGAAAACTGATTTAAAACCAAAATTGCATAATATAAGATTTTCGTGGAATAATAAATAAAAAAATAAGATGCGGTATATGATCAGTAAGTCAAAGTGCTCACATTCAAGTACAAGTGTAAAGCATCATTCCAATAAAAAAAATTTTTTCCATTGCGGACTTTCTTTGAGCAGTCACAAATGTAAAAATGCCAAGGGAGTAAATGGTGAGGCTGGCTTGGTATAAAACCATGGACATTAAACTACTTGTGTCGCCACTGAAACACCTACCTAGTTGCTTTATTGTAGTTTAATTTTTGAAATGTTTCTGTGTGATCATTAAGGTTGTGTGCCAACTTGGCTGGGCCATGATTCTCAGTGGCTTGGTAGTCATGATGTCGTTTGGCAGTTGTATGATGATGTGATCACTCCCATGATGAGATTTGATATAACGTGATCACCTCCATGATGGGATTTGCTGTGAGTAGCCATTCAATTGAAAGGGAGTTTCCTTGGGGGTGTGGCCTGCATTGAATATAAGTGGACTTTTTGGCAAGGTTCGTGGGCTTTTGCATGAACTTTCTCCTGCAACTGGCTCCTGTTCAGCTGACCTCTGGTTCTAGGGATTTGTGCTAGCAGCTTACGTGCCGTCTTGCCTGATGATCTTGGGATCTGTTGGTCCTTCAGCCTGTGAGCCAGAGCTTTGCTGTCTGACTTGCTGATCTTGGGTTCACCAGCCCTTATGGCTATGTGAATCAGGAAAAGCCTCCAGCCTGATCCACGTTCCAGCCTCTACAACTGCATGAGCCATTTTCTTAATATAAATCTCTCTATATATACATTTACATGCTTTACTTGTTTTGCTTCTCTAGAGAACCCAGCCTAAGACACTGTATATGTGTAGAGTATCTATAGTGGAGCCCTGGTGGCACAGTGGTTAAGAGCTATGGCTACTAACCAAACGGTCAGCAGTTAGATTCCACCAACTGCTCCTTGGAAACTCCATGGAGCAGTTCTGCTCTGTCCTGTAGGGTCGCTATTAGTCAGAATTGACTCGATAGCAATGGGTTTTATATATATATATCCACAACCATGTTAGCAATCCACCATTTATCATTACTCCTTAGTTTATTCTCAGCTCACTTAATCATGTACAGACATATTCCATGTACACTATATTCATTGATGTATTCCAAGAGCCTTCAAATTCGGCAATCAAATTTGGCTCAAACAATTTTGGCATCAATATAAATAATGATATTAATGGATTGTGGTTTATTTAACAAAATAAAATATGTAATACTTTAATAAATAATGAGATATTTTAAAAAATGAAATAATAATACATGATATTTGTAGTAATGGCATTACTAGACAATGGGAAGGTCGAGTTGACCCCAACTCATGGGGATCCCATGTGTGTCAGAGTAGAACTGTGCTCCATAGGGTTTCCAATGGCTGATTTTTCCAATGGTCATTTACTATATTACTGATAATAATAAATGGAAAGAAGGGAAAACTCTTCCTCATAGTATAATCAGTATAGAAGGAATGATGGAGTTAAATAATTATCAGTGGATGCTAAAACTAGTGGGTGAAAGTTTTATGAGGACCAGAATATTTACATAATCTTAAAATTATCTCCTCACAAATTACTTATTAATTACAAATGGAAACATAGTGCTTTACAGTGGAAAACTTGGAAGACAGCACCTTAACCAAGTAATCAAAAGTAACAACACATGGTCAGCCACACTGGCATCATGTGCCTCCTGAGAAGGACAACATCACTTCTGTGACGTATTTAGGGGTAAAAGTGCACACATGCACACACACATACACACACAGTGCCTGGGGGAGGGTGGAATCTTAATGTGTAGTTGTAAATACTTCAAACTACCAACCTGGTGTCACAGAACATGGATGTGGGAAGAGATGTGCACAGTCCCCTCCAAGAGCTGGTACTAGCTGGCTCCAGCAGAACACTGGAAGCACCTCATTTTCTTTGGAGTTTAATTATGTGTTTTTGAAATTGCACACTAAAGTTGCCAGTAAATATTTGAAGGTGTTTAACTTTTTTTTAAATTGTACTTTAGATGAAAGTTTACAGAGCAAATTAGTTTCTCATTAAACAGTTAATACATATATTGTTTTGTGACATTGGTTGCCAACCCCACGACATGTCAACACTCTCTCCTTCTTGACCTTGGGTACCCTATTACCAGCTTTCCTGTCCCCTCCTGCCTTCTAGTCCTTGTCCCTGGGCTGGTGTGCCTTTTTTGTCTCATTTTGTTTTATGGGCCTGTCTAATCTGTGGCTGAAGGGTGAACCTCAGGAGTGACTTCATTACTGAGCTAAAAGGGTGTCCGAGGGCCATACTCTCGGGGTTTCTCCAGTCTCTGTCAGACCAGTAAGTCTGGTCTTTTTCTGTGAGTTAGAATTTTGTTCTACATTTTTCTCCAACTCTGTCCGGGACCCTCTATTGTGATCCCTGTCAGAGCAGTCAGTGGTGGTAGTGGACCCCATCTAGCTGGACTGGACTTAGTCTGGTGGAGGCCGTGGTAGTTGTGGTCCATTGGGTGTTAAACTTTCTTGATGCACATATTGTGAGCCTCACTGTATAGCTTCTTTTTAGCTGTTTTTTTCTTTTTTTAGCCGTTAAGAAACCAAGCATTTGATTTGTAGATCTACCTTTCCAGATAAATCAAATGAGAAAAAGTAAACTAGGTGAATCTGCGAAAGTCAGCTTGGTGATCCATCTGATAGTTTCACTTTTTATGAAACAATATTTTTAAATGACCATTTCATTTTGTTTTAAATGATCCTAGGTGTGCAATTCCAACCAGATGTGCCACTGTTTTGAGGGCTTTAATCCTCCAGATTGCCAAACTCAAGCCAGAGTTGCTGCTAGATTGCCTGGGAAACAGGGCAAGTATCTCTCTCTTTCTGTATCCATTTAATAAACTTCTCAAGTTGCTTACCTTCACTAAAACAAGTTGAGATTTTTGCCACTTAAAAAGAGACTGATATTTGTACTTAAAAGATAATCAGGCTTCTCTCAAGGAATGGAAACTGAATTTGCTTTCTTATCTTGCTCCCTTTTCCAGTCTTAAATACTCACATGTGACCAAAGCTGAGAGTACTTTTTAAAATTTCTCTTTACTGCTGTTATTGACTTTCTCCTTTAAAAAATCTTTCAACCTTTTCTCCTTTTATGATTGATCCCATGATCTCAACTCTGCACAGAGATTTACTGAGCATCTACTCTGTGTCTAGCACTGCTAACTATCTTTCTGTTGCAGAAAAAAGAAAGGAAATAAAAGACAAGTTTTTACTCTGAAGGAGTTTACGGCTTAAGTGAGAAAAATTGCTGTTAAAGAGATGACAGAAGGGATGCTAGCACCATGCTCTGTTCGTTCACCATGACTTTAGCTTCTGTCACTCATTCACTGATTCAGCAAACATTTATTGAATGATTAATATATGCCAGGTGCTAAGCTAGACAATGGGAAGGTCGAGTTGACCCCAACTCATGGGGATCCCATGTGTGTCAAAGTAGAACTGCACTCCATAGGGTTTCCAATGGCTGATTTTTCCAAAGGTCTTTTTTCTGAGGCACCTCTGGGTGGACTCGACCTCCGATCTTTTGTTTAGCAGCCGAGCACGTTAACGGTTTGCACCACCCAAACGCAGGGAGTCAAACAAAGTCCCTCTCCTCATGAAGCTTAGAGAATATGTTTTAGCTCTATATACCCAGTGCTAACAAATGGCATAATTAGGGTTAGGAATCAAGTCTCCTGATTTTTATGCTGGTGCCCTTTTGATAGCACTGCCGTGACTCCATATATAAAAACAGATCCCGAGTATCAAAAGCAAACAGCCTAACAAAGAAAAACAGGGTATACACAAATACAGTGACATCCTATGATAATGTGCCCTGTATCAATGAAAATTTGGGTAACCTTGCAATTACATGATCCTACATTATGTATCACTGAATTTTTTAACTCCATTTAAAGCATTATAGTCAGATTTTGCTGTGGGTGTTGTATAATGGAGAGAAGTTTGGGTAAGATACATGACCTTTCTGTAACTTAGTTTCCATGCTTTTAGAGTGAGACATTAGAGAGAGAGTCCAAAGTATTAAGATTCTATTATTATTTTCTCACATTTCTTGAATAACAAAAATTAAGCGCATTGTAATTAATTTGCTGCAACTTGAAAGTAAACTCTAGAAAGCTTATTTAGTATTTTTTTTTTCTGACTTTTTAAATGTATTTTTATTTTTAGGTTTAATCATGGAAAAAGTTTTTAGGAGGATAGAAAAGAACTGGTGGCTTCTCGGTGTCTACATTTCTTTACCCATTCTCATCATAGCAACCATAATAGCTGTGAAATGGAATAGCTTGAAAAGCCGGTTCACCAAGGAAGAGGAGGCATCAAATAGCGAGTAAATCGAATTTGTGTTCTGAAGTTAACTTAAGTTCCATTTTGAACCTTGTCATATGTAAGGCAAGATCATGAGTAGCAAAAGTACTTTACAGGAATATTTAGTACTCCGTCAGTATTGTATTTAATTGTGTGAGATAGCTGCTAATATCCAGTTTTAAAGATGCAAAAATTTGGTAGTGTAGTTTAAATCACTTGCCAAACTCAATGCAATGATAATTGAGAGAGAATAACTCAAATGTACCCATATCTATTGCTTTCAAATACTCTACTGTTTCTCAGCGTGTGGTCTGTGGGTCATCTTCAGGAGAAGTATCAGAAATACTTATTAAAAAAGCAGATTTCTTGGTCCCACCACAGATTTAGTGAAATATTTCTATTCAAATTTTTGCCTCATGTAAGATATGATTTAAAAAATATTCTTGCTGGGTGGAGGGCTGTGGGGAGCATGGTCTCAGGGAACATCTAGCTCAATTGGTATAACACAGTTTATAAAGACAATGTTCTACATTCTACCTTTGTGAGTAGCGTCTGGGGTCTTAAAAGCCTGTGAGCAGCCATCTAAGATACTCCACAGGTCTCATCCCTTCAGGAGCAAGGGAGAATGAAGAGAACAGGATACAAGGAAAAGATTAGTCTGAAGGACTAATGGACCACAGCTACCAAGGCCTCCACCGGCCTGACTGAGTCCAGTACAGCTAGACGGTGCCCGGCTACCACCACGGACTGCTCTGACCAGGATCACAACAGAGGGTTCTGGACAGAGCTGGAGAAGGATGTAGAACAAAATTCTAACTCACAAAAAAAAGACCAGATTTACTGGCCTAAAGGAGACTGGAGAAACCCTGAGAGTATGGCCCCCAGACACCCTTTTAGCTCAGTGGTGAAGTCATTTCTGAGGTTCACCGTTCAGCCGGGGAGTGGACAGCCCCATAAAACCAAATGGGACTAGCGAGGTACAGCAGTCCAGGGACAAGGGCCAGAAGGCAGAAGGGGACAGGAAAGCTGTGATAGGGAACCCAAGGTTGATTAAGGATAGTGTTGATGTGTTGTGAGGTTGTTAACCATTGTCAGATGGCAACATGTGTACTAACTGTTAAATGAGAAACTATTTTGTTCTGTAAGCCTTCATCTAAATTGAGAATAGCAGCACAATTGGAAGAGCATAGTTGATGTCACTGAACTGTGCATGTAGAAATTTTTGAAACGGTGTATCTTTGGCTATGTATATTTTCAACAACAACAAAAAAAAGGTCGAGAAGGGAGAGGGTTGACATGTTGTGGGGTTGTTAACCAATGTCATAAAACAATATGTGTACTACTGTTTCATGAGAAACTATTTGTTCTATAAGCCTTCAGCTGAAGTACAATAAAGAAAATAAAAAATAAAAATAAGAAATATTCTTTAGGTAACATTTCAGAAGGCAAATTTATAATTTATACTATAACTTTTTTTTTTTTTAAAGAGAACAAGGTGACAAACACCCATTTGCTCACCGCTGGAAATTAGCAAATGTTAATATTTTTCTAGTTTCTTTTATGAAATCCAGCATTGCATATACAGTTGCAGTCCCCTTCCAGTACTATCCCCCTCCGTCTCTGCAGAGAACAACCCCTACACTGACAGTTGATGTGTATCTTTTATTACATATTTTTACTACATATGGTTGTGTCCATGTGCCATATCTAATACCGTTTTGTATATATTTTTAAATTCCTGTATTTCCTCTGTAAATAGATTTTCCTTTTCTAATTCTAATTTTGTTTAGGTGGCTTTTCTTTTTCATGATCAATTCTCTCAGGGGTTTTCTATTTTATTAGTAAGTTAAAACAATATAACTTCTAGTTTTGTTGAGATCTCTGTATTTCCTTTTTGCTATCATTAAAATTTACTCTTTTTCCTCCTTTCTGCTCTCTCTACCTTTGCTGTTTTAATTCTAGCTTTCTTGAATTTAATGTTTTGTTTATTTCCAATTTTGTTTTCTAGCATATGCTAAAAAGGTAAAACTTTCCCCTGTATATCATTTTATCTACACTATCCAGTTTTTAAAATATAGCTGACATTAGGTTAAAAAAATTAGAAATTTCCAGTATTATTTCTTGTTTAAATTATGAATAAATTATGGTCTTCTGTTTCCAATTATATGATTTCTTTTACTTGTTTAGAAAATTATTTATCAAGTTTACTACCTTATTTTTAGAGACTTGTCTGTGATTTAGACTTTTTAAAGCCAGAAAGGAAGTCAATTTTTGTAAAAATCAGTTTTTGGAAAATATGATCCATGCATACATGATATGTTTGTTTCTTTGTTTTTAGAACAAACTTTTTAAGTTGTGTTGTTTTGATTCATCTTTATACTCATCATTTTCTTCCTGACCGCTTGATAATTTATATTCTATGAGAGGCAAGCTAAAGTTTTCCCATATAATTGTGGAATTATCAGACTTGCCCTCTGATTGTTGAAACTTCAGCTTTATATATTTTGAGGCAGTGACTAAATGCATAGTCTCATTTTAGTTATATATTCTCGATGTATTTTCTTTTATCATTAATAATTGTATCTTAAATTCTGTCCTCACTGTTTTAAATTGCTGTATCAACTGTTTGTTAAATTTCCCTGATATATTTTTTTCATCCTCTTTTTCTCAGCCTATCTTTGTTTTTAGTTAGTGTCTTATAAACAGTCTTTATATGACTTCAGTAATGGAGTTGGTTATGCTTATATGCTCAATATATGATGATTTATGTATTTAGACTTAAATTTGGCATCTTATTTTTTTTCCTATTTTCTATGCATTTTCTTTAGATCTTTTTCTTTTCCTGAATTCATTTTACTGGTTGTGGTTTTTCTGTTTTTTCTTTGTTCTATTATTTTAGACATTTTTATATTCTGTTTTTATTGTTTTAAACATTTTCTTTAAATTTTGGTTTCTGTAGTTAGTGGTGTTGTTGTTAGTTGCAATAGTCAGCTCCGACTCATGGCAACCCCATGTACAACAGAACACGACACTGCTCAGTCTTGCACCATTTCACAGTCACTGGTACGCTCAAGTCCATTGTTGGCACCTACTGTATATTTTGGGTGATTTCCAACCTAGAGGACTCATCTTCCAGTACTATATTGGGCCACATTCTGTGGTGATTCTTAAAGGTTTTTATTGGCTAATTTTCAGAAGTAGCTCACCAGGCTTTTCTCCTTAGTTTGTCTTAGTCTGAAAGCTCCGCTGAAACTGGTTCATCATGAGTGACCCTGTTGGTATTTGAAATACCAGTGGCATAGCTTCCAGCAACATAACATGCAAGCCACCACAGTATGACAAAATGATAGATGGGTGATGGAAAAACCACTGCGACTCATGACGACCACTTATGTGTCAGAGGAGAACTGTGCTCCATAGGGTTTTCGATGGCTGTGACCTTTTGGAAGTAGGTTGCCGGGCCTTTCTTCCAAGGCATCTCTGGGTGGACTCAAACCACCAACCTTTCGGTTAGTAGTGGAGCACTTACCCATTTATGCCACCCAGGTCTAAATTTAATCATTATATGTAGTTTTCTTCTGAAAAAACACAAGGATCTTGCCCCTTTAGGCTCAAACCACCCTCTTCAATCTGTCATTTTCAGTTCCTCCCAAATAAGTAATTGTTATTGTTGTTATCATTTTTATATTCAGTCAGTACTGACTAGGATTTCCCAATATATATTACAGAGTCTTTGTTTACCATATCTTTTTATTTTAACTTAAAAAAAATTAAGAGCTAGAAGTAGCAAAAATAGCACAGAGTTCGCATGAACACTGCACCTAGCTTTTTCCAGTGATAACATCTTACATTAACATAGTACATTTTCAAAGCCAGGAAATGGACATTGGTATAATATTATTAATTAAACTACAGATCTTATTCAGATTCACCATTGTTTACATATACTCATTTGTGTGTGTGTGTGTGTGTGTGTGTGTATGTGTATAGTATTATGAACTTTTTCTTTATTGTGGTGAAAATATACACATCAAAACATTTGCCAACTCAATTTCAACATGTAAAATTCAGTGACATCGATTTCATTCTTTATATTATGCAACCATTATCACTATGCTTTTCTGAGTTATTCCACCACCGTTAACATAAACTCAATGCCCTCTAAGCAAAAGCTTCCTTTTTCCCCTCTCCCCATGCCTCCACCACGTGTCTGTCAGTTTCTCGATTTGTGTTGGCTTGCGTGTTGTTGTGATACTGGAAGCCTTGCCACTGGTATTTCCAACACCAGCAGGGTCACCTTTGGTAGATAGGTTTCAGTGAAGCATCTAGACTAAGGCAGACTGGGAAAAAGGACCTGGCAGTCTACTTCTGAAAAAATTGGCCAGTGAAGAAAAACTTTATGAATGTTGATAGAACATTGTTTAATAATAGTGCTGGAAGATGAGCCTCTCGGGTTGGAAGGCACTCAAAATGCGACTGGGGAAGAGCAGCCTCCTCCAAGTAGAGTTGACCTTAATGACACGGATGGAATTAAGCTTTCAGGATCTTCATTTGCTGATGTGGCATGACTCAAAATGAGAAGAAACAGTTGCAAACATCCATTAATAATTGGAACGTGGAATGCAAAAATTATGAATCTAGAAAAATTGGAAATCATCAAAAATGAAATGGAACGCATAAACATCGATATCCTAGGCATTAGTGAGCTGAAATGGACTGGTATTGGCTCTTTTGAATCAGAGAATAATGTGGTCTACTATGCCGGGAATAACAAATTGAAGAGGAATGGCATTCCATGCATTGTCAAAAAGAACATTGCAAGATCTACCCCGAAGTACAGTGCTGTCAGTGATAGGATAATATCTTTACATCTACAAGGAAGACCAGTTAATATGACTGTTATTCAAATCTACAACCAACCACTAAGGCCAAAGATGAAGAAATTGAAGATTTTTATCAACTTCTGCTCTCTTTCTACTTGTTCCAGTTGTAGGGTTAATGTTTTGATTATGGCCCTTTCTTCTTT